CCTGCCCAGAACGCCGCTAAGTCCGGCAACGGACCGCGAAGCGCCCCTGGGACAGGCCATCTGGAGAAGAGGGAACTTGCTCTTTCCCCGCTGGAGGGCGGGGCCCCATTTCCAACGGCACTTTTTACTGCCATGAAAACATTATGAAAGGGCACTTTTCACTTCCCCAGATGTGACAGCCCGAAATCTGCCAGTCTGGGACGCTATGCTTTCTAGCTTGCAGATTCGGTGCGTTTCGCCAGTGGCTCACGAGCGCTGGGAGGACGGTCTCCTTTCTCCCACCCCTCGAGCCTCCCCTCCGGAGCTCGGGTTTGGAGTGAGAGCAAATATCTCACCTCCAGCTTTTCCGTGGGACCCGCGAGCTTCCCGGATCAGCACACCCACTCCGCGCTGCCCCACTGCTGGTACGTCAGCGATTGTAGCGATGAGTCCATTAGCGAGAGCTCTGCCTGCCTGGTTAGCGCGGGCCAGCTCTTCGCGGTGGCTCATACGCACAATCAGACTCGGCTATGCGATTCAGTTCGCGAAACGGCCCCCCAAGTCACGGGTGTGTATTCACCAGGGTCAGCCCCCTGTCCGCCCCTGTCTTGCGAGAGGAGATTGCTGTCCTCCTGGCGAAGGATGCAATCGAGCCGCTCCCTCCAGCCGAGATGGAGGGTGGGTTTTACAGCCCACGCTTCATCGTGCCCAAAAAGAGCGGTGGGTCACGGCCAATCCTAGATCTGCGCGTTTTGAACCGCTGCCTGCACAAGCTGCCGTTCAGAATGCTTACGCAGAAGCGCATCCTCCGGTGCGTTCGTCCTCTGGGTTGGTCTGCAGCATTAGACCTGATGGACGCGTATTTCCATGTCTCCACTCTTCCTCGCCACCGACAGTTTCTGCGGTTTGCGTTTGAAGGTCGAGCTTGGCAATACAAAGCCCTCCCCTTCGGGCTCTCTCTGTCTCCGCGGGTCCTCACCAAGCCCGCGGAGGGTGCCTCAGCGCCCCTTCGGCTCGCGGGCATCTGCATACTCAATTTCTTTACGACTGGCTGATTTTTGCCCTCTCTCGGAGCAGTTGATTATGCACAGAGACAAAGTGCTCTGGCACTTCCACCTGTGGGGGTTTCAGGTCAACCGAGAAAAGAGCAAACTCGCCCCCGTGCAGAGGATCTCTTCTCTCGGGCTGGAGCTGGACTCGGTCACCATGGCAGCGCGCCTCTCCGGAGAGCGCGCTCAGCTGATGCTGTACTGTCTGAGAGAGCTCGACAGTAAAATAGTGGTCCCACTGAAACTATTTCAGAGGCTCCTGGGGCATATGGCATCCGCAGCCGCTTCATGCCGCTCGGATTATTCTATATGAGACCACTTCAGCACTGGCTTCACGATCGAGTCCCCAGACGCGCATGGCACGCGCGCGCACACCGAGTCTCTGTTACTGCGCTGTGTCGCCGCGCCCTCAGCCCTTGGAGCGACCCCTCGTTCCTACAGGCCTGGGTGTCTCTAGAACAGGCGTCCAGTCTTGTTGTCGTTTCAGCAGACACTTCCAACACGGGCTGGGGGGCTGTGCGTTGCGGGCATGCGGCTGCGGACCTGTGGAAAGGTACCCAGTTGCATTGGCATATCGCCTGGAGCTGTTGGCAGTGTTCCTCGCTCTCCACCGTTTTTTTCCGGTGCTGGAGCGGCAACACGTGCTGGTCAGGACGGACAGTACGGCGGCGGTGGCGTATATCAGCCGTATAGGGGGTATGCGCTCTCGCCGCATGTCTCAGCTCGCCCGCCGTCTGCTCCTCTGGAGTCATCCGCGGCTGAAATCGCTGCACACCATTCATATTAAGGCAAGCTCAACCGTGCAGCCGATGCGCTCTCACGGCAGCCTTGCGTCCTGGAGAATGGAGACTCCACCCCGAGTCTGTTCAGCTGATATGGGCGCGATTCGGGGAAGCCCAGATCGATCTGTTGCTTCCCCCGAGATCGCTCATTGCTAGTTGTTCTTTCCCTGACCGAGTGCTCTCGGCACGGATGCACTGGCTTACAGCTGGCCTCGGGGCACGCGCAAATACGCGTTTCCCCCAGTGAGCCTGCTCGCGCAGTTACTGTGCAAGGTCAGGAAGAGGACGAGGAACAGGTTGCTGGTTGCGCCCCTCTGGCTCAACCGGACCTGGATGTCAGAGCTCTCCCTCGCGATAGCCCTCCCCTGGCAGTCCCTTCGAGAGAGCACCTACTCTCTCAGGGACAGGGCACCACCTGGCACCCTCGCCGATCTTTGAAGAGATTTTAGACGCGAGGAAGACTTAGGTAACCTCCGATTGCGGTGGCTAATACCGTCACTCGGGCTAGAGCCCCCTCCCCGAGCGCGCCTATGCCCTGACGTGGAGTCTATTCACTGAATGGTGTGTCTCTCGCTGAGAAGACCCCCGTAATTTGCCAGATCAGCGTTGTGCTTTCTTACGCCGAGAGAAGCTGGAGAGCAGGCTGTCGCCCTCCACACTCAAGGTTACGTGGCTGCCATCTCCGCTCTCATAACGCGGTGGCTGGCAGCACCGTGGGAACGCATAACCTCATCATCCGGTTCCTCAGGGGCGTTAAGCGAATTAATCCATCCCGCCCCCTCTCATGCCCTCTTAGGATCTCGCCCTCGCTACACAAGCCGCGTCAGATCCCTTCGATCCTCGACTCAGTATCTTTCTGTCCCTGAAGACAGCTCTGCTGGTCGCGTTGATATCGATTAGAGGGTCGGGGACCCGGAGGCATTTTTCGGTCAGTGACTCGTGCCTGTAATTGGGCTGGCTTCTCTCACGTCCTGAGACCCCGCCCGCGATATGTGCCCAAGGTTCCTACCACTCCGTTTTAATACGAGGTAGTGAGCCTGCAAGCGCTGCCCTCGGAGGAGGCAGACCCAGCCCTTCTTTATTGTCCAGTTCGCGTTTTGCGTATTATCCGGACCGCACTCAGAGTTTAGATCATCTGAGCAGCTCTTCGTCTGTTATAACGGTCGGCAGCAGGGAAGTGCCGTACCGAAATAAGTTCCCACTAGATTGTGGATGCCTTTCTTTCACTATCAGAGCCGAGATAAGCCGCGTCCCCCGAGAGCGCGTGCGCACTCCACTCGGAGTTTCGCATCCTCTCGAGCGCGCGCACGCGGCGCCCCTCTAACAGACTTCTGTAGAGCTGCGGGCTGGGTGACACCCAACACATTTGCAAGGTTTTACAATCTGCGAGTGGAGCCGGTTTCCTCAAGGGTATTAGGTAACCCTTGGTGATTGAGGAAACAATTCGGTAGGGTGTTGAAACACGCTTGCTGCGCCATTTTCCCTAACACGGAGATACGTGCGCCTTTTTATCTGTCAGTAAAGTTCCCCGTCAGGTGAGCCCTGCAGATTCCTCCGTGGCCCCCAGCACTGACTCAGCGGAGGAGTCACTTGCTGGCCCACTACGTTGTAGGTCTGCCCGCTGGTCAGCCCGCGTTTTGGGTAAAGGTGCCTGCTATGCGTGGTCCCCACTAGGCGATCCCATATGCTTATTCAGCCACGGTTAAGTCCCCCCCCCTGGGCGGACCCGTGTCTTCCCTCCCCGCTAACCACTCTTTGCTATGCGTACTCCCCCTTTTTAGGGCTAGTCCATATGTAAATTCTGCCATCTATCCCCCCTTGGGTAACGGATGGCCTCCGCAGCGTCCTCCCTATCGGGATTGCACGCTTCCCAACGTACTGTCGTATTTTCCTAGAATTATCTAGATGCTCACGACTTCCCAAAAAATATATCTAAATCCGTAAAACTTCTGTTGAAGTAGGATAAATTAGGGCCAGGGACACGTTGGAGGACCGCGCCCCCCATGATGCGGGTGCGTCACGCTTGCTTGACTATCTCCTCATCGGGGGTGTTGGTAAGGTGCAGTCATTATGGCGCTTTCAATGGGCTCCCAATGCGTGGATTTTACAAATCAAATCCACTTATAGTGCTGAAGTTCCCCCCGAAGGGGAACGTTCGAGGTTACTAAAGTAACCCTTCGTTCCCCGAGGAGGGGAACGGAAGCACTATACTCCGTCGCCATAATGACTGTCCCTTAGCTGTTGAAAGTCTCTTCAGCTTAAAAAGGATAGCGTCTGCTGGCGCCAGGTGAGCTTATATACTCAGTTGATTGCTTATGCCGCTCACCTGCGCAGGCTTGCGCTGCCAATTCATTCTTAATTGGCCCGTTCAATACTCTTTCAGACGAGTAGCTTCTGAACCGAACCTCCCAATGCGTGGATTTTACAAATCAAATCCACTTATAGTGCTTCCGTTCCCCTCCTCGGGGAACGAAGGGTTACTTTAGTAACCTCGAACGTTATATAGCATGTTGAGTTGCGTGTTATCCGTGCCAAAATTTAACCAATTTTCACGGTAATAACTTGTGAATTTTGGTATCGTTTTTAGGTATTTTTCTGGCTACACTAATGCATTAAAATGAAACTAAGTAATTGTTTTAAATGACATTAGATTGTAACATTTAGCTTTTCCCTAACACTGATGTTGGTTGGATAATAGGCTACGTGAAGCGTGATGACTCGGTTAAGCTGATTTCACTATATTTATTTACCGGTTAAATGAAGTCTGATCGTGGGTCAGCTTGCATGTGTGGGCATAATTTGACGTCTTTACCTAAAACTTTAAACATTCATAGGCCTGTTATTTAAAATAAAACGGAAATAAGGAGAATAACATATGATTTAAAGCACTCGTTTGGCACTGAAGCCATCATCCGTCTGCATTAATAAGCGGTAAGCATTACTATCGTTAATAAAATTCGTAATAGCGAAACTGCATATTGTTATTACTATTAAAACGTAGCCTATATTAGTAACTTAGGCAGTAATGCAAAGTAATAATAAATGTGAATAAATAGCCTAAATGAAAGAAACAAGAGACCAAAATTAGTCACCAGGTCTAGTGCCCCCCTATCGATTTAAAGTGCCCCCTCAGTTTTGACTTCCTGGCGCCGGGCCTGCCTAAAAGAAAACTTCATTTGGTCAATTCTGAACAATGATTGCAGTATTTCAAACAAAAGTCCACTATATGCCTGGAACTGCAAGATTATATAACTTCAGTCTGATGCATTTACCACTCTCTCAGATTTGACCTTCTCTACCTATTACAAAGCAATACTCAAAGTCATTTCAATTCTGACTAGCTTATGATTATTAAATAAATGCTGCTGATGTTGATTAGTGAGCATTGGTACATAACATGATCAATATTTATCAGCTGTTACTCCCTCCATTTTAATTCGCTGACTGCCCTCGCACACATATTTGTTTGTCAGCCAATCAGTGAAGTATACTTTCCAAATGTTCAGCACCTTAATGAATATTCAAATACAAGACTTCGTTGTAGTCACTTTGTAAATTTGTCTGTGGGTGGGAAATAAAGTGCAATAAAAGGAGCTCACCACACATGAAAGTGATTAATTACATTTTCAACACATTGCTGTAAACAAACAACTATGCTGGCACGGATTGTTCTTGTACTTTGTTTGGCAGGTGAGTTTTAAAACATATTAAGAAACAACAAAGTTTAAAGTTTTCAGCACATTGTATATCAAATTGTTGCTTTTATTATGTTTTCATTTTATCATTGTTTTTATGTTTAGTTATTCCTTCAAGGTTTAAACTACAATATTTGTGTAGGAAAGATTTTAATAATTGTATTTTGTTTTTACATTGTTATGAACAGCCTTGGCAAGATCGGCTGCTTTCCCTTTTGTCTTCAACAATATAAATGTAAGTTGAGCAATATTACCTTACATTTTTACCAACTATACTGTATGTATTTAATGTGGTTTGTGTGTTTTTTTACAGCCACAATGCTTTAAATACAATGTAATGTGTCCCCGGAACTATGAGCCTGTGTGTGGTACAGATGGAGTCACATACGGAAATGAGTGCATGCTGTGTTTGAAAAATAAGTAAGTAGCCCTTACTCAAGTTTTTTATTGTTAAGTCTTTATCGACTTGTTTAAATGTTCTATTTAAACTGTTCGTCTTGTTGCAGGGAGGACAAGACCAACATATCAATTTCCAAAATGGGTGAATGCAGAGCTCATTTTATTTGGGATCTGACATGAAGGCTGGAAACGTGATGCTTTAAATGTGGTCTTTTTTAAAGCATTCTAATCTTTAAATAAAACATAAATATGCAAGTCAGTGTTTTGTTATTTGCATTCTGATATTAGAGCCTGTGGAAAATTGAAACTAAGAGATAATAAAAGTCAAATTATAACACAATGCTCTTAAAATAGAGCACATTGTCAGTAAGTCAGATTTACACTTGTTAAACACATTGGGCTCTATTTTGACGGTCCATGCGTAGAGCGCAAAACGCAGGGCGCAAATGCTTTCAGGGCGTGTCAGGACGCGTTTTTGCTCATTTAAGGACGGGAAATCTGCATTGCGCCGCGGCGCATGGTCTAAAAGGTTTGAGTTTATTTTCTTAATGAGTTATAGGTGTGTTTTGAAAATAAACCAATTAGAGTCTCATCTCCCATTCCTTTTAAGAGTCAGCTGCGTCGCGCCAAGAGAGCATTCGCTATTTACAGGACGCAAAGTAAGTCTAAGTGGAAAAAATGAGCATTTCACTAGCAAACAGTTAACAGTTTTTTAACAGAAAATTGTTAAACAGAGCATCTACTGCGTGAGAATGAGAGATAATGGATCACTTTCACTTTCGCTCTTGGATAGGGAAACTTTTACGCACAGACATCAATTAGTCTATAAAACAAATACTTTTGTTTGTTTAGCGCAAATATTCGTTTCAAAACTATTTCTAAATTCAGTTCTAATTTCCAGCAAACGAATAAATGAATAATAATAGCAAAATGTGCTCCAAAACCTGAGTTATATCCTAAAACACATGCTTTGCCCCATATGGTCTAAACCCTGACAGGTGGGCAAATCTAAGCTTGTTTTTTAACAAAACAAATATAAATATGGATATAATAAATAATACTGCTAATAATAATAACAACATTATAGAAAAGCAAATTGTTATGAATGAACTGAAAAAGCCTCCCGAGATGAAGAAGACATAAAAGCAGTGGTTTTTCATATTTATGTAGGCTAGAAAATAATATGTTTTGTAATATTTTAATCCTTTATATTTATATTCTATATCTATTCTTATTATATCCTATATATATCTTTAATATTTACAGTTTTTTCATATTTGCCTATTGCTCTCTTGTTCGTATTAAGCAGTGTGTAAGCGAGGCGCAACTCTGCGCCGGAGTTTAGACCGGGTTAGTTTTGGTCTAATGAAAAATCTATTATAGTTTCTCAAAATAGCAACGCGCCAGCGGTCCGCCTTAGAATGCCTTCCTTTTCAGACCAGAACGCCTATGGGTGCACAAATGAGCACTAATGCATTTGCTATTTAAACAGCGTAGCGTAACGCCTCAAAACGACTCTTGCACCAAGCTGAAACTACCTAAAGACTACTGCGTCACGCCTTGTGCCACACTGCGCTGGGTGTATGATAGGGCCCAAAATCTTTAACACTGATTGGACTAATCATCTTCTTTTACAGTGGTTTAATATCTCTGAGCAAGATATGATAAAGGAAAGCAAGTGTCAGGAATGAAAAATGTTTGCATTAGTGTTCATTTTATCCTAATAGGTTAAAATAGGGCAAAATGGTTTGAACACAGCAAAAGAGACCTCAGACAGTCTTTGTCAATCAATACAAACAATTCCAAGTTTTTTGTGCAAATCTGCTACACTTTACAGAATTTAGTTCATGGTGACAACATTATTGATTGTTTTTATTAGTTTAATCAAATTCACTGGAAGTTGGTGTAAGAAGAAGTTCCACTTGCAAATTTCACAGTTGTATTCAGAAATGTCAAATCTAAAGAAATAATATCTGAATTCATTGTTTTGTTAAATACAAAATTGTTTTTTGTTTTTGTTTTGTCACCTGTAATTTGTACACTCAAAAAAAAATGTTTTTATTAAATTTTAAAAAAAAAATTTTTTTTTAGCTTGTTTAAACTTAAAATAAGCTGGAAGAACACAATTCTTGAGATTTCATTGGGACAACATAATTTTTATGTTCAATCCACATTAATTTGTTGAAAGTGTTAGGTTAACTTAATCGATTTGTGTTGAGACACCATGAATAAATTGTGTGGAACTGTTTAAATATAAAAATAAAGAATGAAATGACAAGTAACACACCTTTAGGGTTCTTCAGCTTATGTTTTTTGCACTCTCAAAGTAATGGTATAGCTGTTAACCTTATTTATATATATATATATATATATATATATATATATATATATATATATATATATATATATATATATATAAAAATCAGCAAATACAACAGTTTCAGCTAAAGATCTTCATGTGTCACCTACTGTACATCTTGGATGGACTGAGAGCAAGTGGTTTAAAAGCAAATTTTCAGTTTTTGGTGAACTAACGTTATGGGCCGTATCATACACCCTACATCATATAAGGTGCAAGACGTGTTTGGCGCAATTTGTTGCTATTTCAGACCAGCGCAACCCTAATTTTTATGCTTTTGCACCATGTTGTTTGCATAGCAAATCCATTTGTGCGATTTTGTGGACTCATGGGCGTGTTGGTCTAAAATAGAGGTGTGTTAAGGCGCATTGTTGATGCATTGCTATTTTGAAGAACTGAAATATTTGACCAACTGAAAGCAGGTCTAAAGGCCAGCACAGAGTGCATTAGTTACGTGCCATGTGGATTCAAATGGTTACACATTGCTTAATACACACAGGATGTATAGCATTACACAAATATCTTAACATATGAAAAAAATTAAAGGATTAAAATGATACAAAAATGATTATTTTCTACATAAATATAAAAACCACTACTTCCATGTCTCATCCTGGGGGGCTTTTTCAGTTTATTCATGACAATTTGTATTTGTATAATGTTATTGTTATTATTATGAGTATTAATTATTATCTGCATATTTATATTTGTTTAAATAAAGTTTAGTTTAGATTTGTCCACCTGTAAGGTTTTGGAGATGTATGCATGACTATATGGGGCATAAGTATAGGACGTGTGTTTGGATATACAGTAACTCAGTTTTTTGACCACACACTTCAGAAATGAAATGTGAATTTGAATAAAAGGAGGATTTACTGTTGATAAAAAAACATTCAAAATTTTGAATTCACACAGACTTTGAACTGCAGGCATTCAGTGCTCCTGCAAAAACGTGAGGCACCCAGGGCACATAAACAGCACCCAAAATGACTTATGAAAAATATGCCTCTCACCTCAAACAGTGGGTTTAATGTAATCAGGTCATGAACCACCACAATAATATGCAGCTGCAAGAAGCAGTTTGCCTTCGAATTGGGGCTGCAACAATATGATAAAACAAAGATTACAAGTGCTGAATTGTGTTACGATGGTCTAGAACAGGGGTCACCAATCTCGGTCCTGGAGGGCCGGTGTCCCTGCAGGGTTTAGCTCCAACTTGCCTCAACACACCTGGCTGGGTGTTTCAAGTGTACCTAGTAAGAGCTTGATTAGCTTGTTCAGGTGTGTTTGATTAGGGTTGGAGCGAAAATCTGCCGGACACCGGCCCTCCAGGAACGAGTTTGGTGACCACTGGTCTAGAATGTTTATTATTGTTGTTGTAGTAGTTGTTATTATAAATTTTTTACAGCTCATTTATGACATATTAATGTAATACTTACAGAAATATTAAAAATCCAATTTTTCACCCCACATTTCTACAGATGGTTGACTCATTTAAAAGCCAGTTAAACTAGTGCATTTTACATGGTTCATAAATACTAAATTAAAGGTCTCAAATGCACACTGCTTAATTTTTCACACATTTTTATTGCTCTAAAGTAATACTTCATTTAATATTAAGTTTACTTAATACTCAAAAGGGTATGTAGTTGTTTAATGAATCTATTATGACATTCAGGTAATAGTCTCTGTCAACTCAGAAATAAAAACAATGTGAAGTCTGTCTTGCCCTGATCAGACATCATTGCACACTGCTTAAACATTCCACTATCCAACAAAATGTAGCTTGAACATGTTCAGTCACGTGAAAGCAAACTCTGACCATCGGCAACAGTTGCAGGGGTAACACACTGACCCAACAAACAAGTTTGTTCCCATTCAGCAGTGCAGTGTAAATTGGCCTATAAAAAGTTTGTCATTTATCAGCCTTGGAAATGAAAATGGCATTGAAAAGCATATTTCAATTAAAAGTGAAAGTTCAAAATAACGTAGTGTGTCATCAGGACATGCAAAAGAAAAGCAAAACTAATGCATGTTTTTGGACTCTGATGTGAATTTGGAGAAATTTACTGATCTGCTTAAGTGTTCATTTCTATTTTTCAAATAATTCTCTAACACTGTAAGTAGAAAATATAATACATTGAAATTAACATATAAAGACAATAATCAAAATAAAATAATAATAAAATAAATAATTTAAAACCACAATTAACCCTGCTGAATATAGGCCAAAAATGCAGTTGTACAAGACTCAAAGTTCATGACTTTCTTGAGCAGAATATTACAAAATTCCTACTGCTATGACACTTCCATAATAATGTGGAAACACTGTGTCAATGTAATTTGACAAATTATGATATGAACTTTGATAAGCTTTATGACTTTGATAAAATGACAATGCTGATAAAAGCATTAGGCAAGGCCAGTTCCTCATCCTGTGACTGGACAATGAGATCGCTATTTGCTAAACAGACTGTAAGAAGAGCCGGCAGGAGCTTTGATGATCAACACTGTTAGTCTAACCAGTGTTTATTAAGCATGTTACATTTACATGGATATCAATACTCTGATTTTATTACGATTAAAAGTCTACCAGGTAAACAGCGATTTTCGATGACCTTAATCCGAATAAAGTCATAATCAAACTAAACAGAAATCGAATTAAATACCTGGAGTCTTCCTATTGTAATCGGATTCTTGAAGTGCAGTATGGACATGTAAACTCTTTAACCAAACTATTACCATCATGTAGGACTTTTCACCGCATTTTGTGACTTATATTCCATACACACATGGCTGTTTGACACTATTTTCTGCACCTACCGAGTTAGTAAAGGACACCCGCATTGCAAAATGTGGAGATTTTTTTCTTTCCATTCGATATGTGGTATCAAATTGCATAAAAACAACACTCTTCCACCCAGTCCTTACTTCATTTTCTGATCCAATATCTCAGTTTGTCACAGGGGCATGAATGAAATGCTCCTGAATAGGAGGTCAAACTGCAGTTAAAGTCCAAAAAAAAAAAAAGAAAGAAACATACGAAATTACATGAAAATCCAAAGAAAACGTTGTATAGCGTTGTGACACAATTTCGTTAATCAACATAACATGTAAAATGGGATCAGGAAAGAAACATTTAAAACGCAACTCATGTAAACACCTTGATCATATAGTCTTATTCAGATTAAGACAAATAATTTGATTACTGATATCCATGTAAACATAGTCAATGAGATTTTACATGGACACCCATAATTCGATTTTAATATTATTAAGACAATACTAGGATTAAGAGTCTTCCATGTAAACAGCGATTTTTGATTAATTTAATCTGACTAATGTCATAATCTAACTAAACAGAAATCAAATTAAGACATATGGAGTATGCCGATTTTAGTTGCATTATTAAAGTGCAGTACAGACATGTAAACACCTTACTCAAACTATTACCGTCGTGTAGGATTTTCGCTGTAATTTGCAACAGGATAGTCTACACACACACAGAGATCTTTGTCACTATTCTCTGCACCTACCCAGTCAGTGAAGGACCACAGCCACCTGCATCACGAAATGCAGATATTTTTCCCCCCTACAACGTGTGGTATCAAATTCCACTAAAATAACACTCTTTCAGCAGTTCATACTCGCATCTAATATCTTGGGGCCATGGATGAAAATGTTCCTGAATGAAAGTGAAGGTGTCAAACTGCAGTTGAAATTGACAAATTACAAATGAAACACCTGAAATTACATGAAACTCCGAAGGAAATGTGGAATGCCCAGTTAGTACTGTAGCTGATTGTAACAAAAACACTTCTGCCTGTTTGAAAGAAACAGAAAAAAGCAAGCACTTGGGATTTGTTGATTATTCTTGTTGAACCAAACTCGTATAAAAAAACCCAAAGCCAAGGTACGTAACGAAAAATGACTTCTGTTTACATTACACCCCTAATCATTTGACAAATCATAAAACCTGATAAGCTTAAGATATCCCTGTGATAAGCTTCATACATTTGATAAACATACAGCAATAATAAAAAACATTGGACAAGGCCAGTTATTGTGAATTTTATCTACTGATAATGTCATGGCTGTTTGTGTGTGCAGGGTTTTCCTGCATGAAGAATTATGAGGTGGCCACAATCATGACTACCAACAGAAGTGACTTTCAAGCACTAGTCATCTTTTTAATTACATTACATTTACATTATTATTAGCCTTTTAATAAAATAATGGTTTAACATTATACTTATTAGGAGCACAAGAATAAGTAAGTAATGTATATTCTATATATATATATATATATATATATATATATTCATTCATTCATTTTCGGCTTAGTCCCTTTATTAGTCTGGGGTCACCTTAGCGGAATGAACCGCCAACTTATCCAGCATATGTTTTACGCAGCGGATGCCCTTCCAGCTGTAACCCAACTCTAGGATACATCCATACACAATCATACACTAACATGGGCCAACTGACCCAGCCGAGGCTCGAACCAGCAACCTTCTTGCTGTGAGGCGACAGCACTACCTACAGCACCACTGTGTCACCCTCTATATATATTCTTTTTTATATAGTGCATTTATTGTGTATGGCTATACACCCAAAGCGCTTCACAATCATGACGGTGGGTCTCTCCACTCACCACCACCACAGGACAACGGCGCCAGTACGCTCACCGCACAACAGCTATAGGTAAAGTGGAGAGACAGTGATACAGCTAATTCGATGGATGGGGATGACTGGGAGGCCATAATGGTTAAGGGCCGATGAAGGAAATTTAGCCAAGACACTGGGGCTACACCCTTACTCTAATATAAATGTGTTATTTGATTGATGTTTCTATTGTTTTTACATAGCAGGACTCATTATTATCTTTTCTCCTTCAATGTTTCAGTGTGTGTGCTTCATGACAACTAAAAGAACATCACTGAATCATGTTTTTACTTCACTTCAAGATTGATGCCACATAAAGGCTTTTTAACTAATGTGGAACCCACGGTGGGGCAAAATGTTGCAATATCAGCCAAGATAAAGTTGAATTTTTCAGAACATTGGCACATACTTTGATGAATTGTGACATGACTCTGTCACATATTCATTTTATCTGATAAATGAACAAAGCAACAATTTTATCTCCCCCCCCCCCCCCCCCCAAAAAAACTCCCAAACATACCTGCAAATTTTCTTCACTTCTTTCATTTTGTCTTGATTTAGCTGTGGTTCTCCAGAGGTAGTTAATTCCTCAACCAGTTGAGATAGCTTATCTCGCATTGTTTGGTCCATCTTGATATAGGAATAAAACAGAATATACATTTTATACATAATATAACTATACGTAAAAAATAAAATTATGGGCAAACAAATTTATTACTAAAAAAGATTTGGAATTCTCAGTTTTACAGGTTTTTTTTCCTGTATAGATAATTACAAGGTGGTCACCTCCATCAAATTTTTACATACAACTTTGACAAAAGTCAGGCTGGCTGTCATACTCTCAGACCCTCAAATTAGGCTTAAGCACTGGTCATGTAATTAATTACATTATAATGTTAGTCTCTTTAAATAAGATACTGTTTTACTTGATAAGATTAGAAGAAAATGCAAACGTTACATGTGTTTGTTTCAAGTATGTAACTTACCACCTCCACATCAAATAAATTTGTTCAACATAGATAGATAGATAGATAGATAGATAGATAGATAGATAGATAGATAGATAGATAGATAGATAGATAGATAGATAGATAGATAGCGTTATTCTTTCTGCTGACTGACTGACTAACTTACATCTGTTTTGACTGTCTAAGATTTATTTGTCTTTGAATATGACACAACACGTACCTCCTTGTCCACTTGTTGTAACGAAAATGTTTTATTAATCACTGCAAGAATACAAAAAATATGTTTTCCTATTGTAATGAAGACCACTCATCGCCTTTAGTGTGACCCAATAGTGAATGTAAACAAAGAAACAATAAGGAAATCTAGTGGAGAATCAGTAATTTTCAAAATAAGAGTCGCTAGTGTAAAAGTCTGCAAAAAATGTACAACGTTAACTTCAACCGAAACACAATCGTTATTACAACTTTATGTTCGATGAATCTGTGCGTATTTACCACTGTTCTCTTTACAGATCGGTTGAATTAACTTTTATGTTGTACGTATGTTGCAATTCTGACAAGCTCACGATTACACGCTGCTGACGTTGATTAGTGAGCGTTGGAACGTAACATGATCAATATTCATTAGCTACCTTTTTTTTCATTCGCCAGGCTGACAACCGCCCACGCACATATGACTGGTTGTCAGCCAATCGGTAAAGTATCATTTCTTCTCGTGCAGCACATAAATGAATATTCAATTACAAGCCTTTGGCCTAGTAGAATTCGAGTGACGCACTTTGCATGTTTGTGGACGGTCCGTGGGTGGGAATAAAGTGCGATAAAAGGAACACACTGCACCTGCGAGTGATTAATTACATTATCATCACGTCGCTGTAAACAAACAACTATGCTAGCACGGTTTGTTCTTGTACTTTGTTTTGCAGGTGAGTTTTTAAACTTATTTTGACTTTGAATATCAGTTTAATGTTTCTAGTATGTTGTAAAAATATAAAGTTGTTTTTATGTTTAGTCATTACAAGAAAGTCCTTTAATTGAGCAAGAAACACTTTAATAATTGTTTTTCACTTCCCTGAACAGCCTTGGTAAGAGCGGCTGCTATCCCTGATGGCTCGATAGTAGTAAGTTGAGCAATATAGCCCTGCATGTGCTTTTATTGATCTAACTTTATCTATTTAATGTGTTTTTGTGTGCTTTTTTTATTTACAGCCAAACTGCTCTCAATACTCCTTGCCTATATGTCAACGGGATTATAGCCCTGTGTGTGGCACAGATGGATTAACATACTCCAATGAGTGCATGCTGTGTATGGAAATTTTGTAAGTAGTAGGCCTAACTTAAGTTTGATATTTTTAGTCCTCATCCACTTGTTTAAATGATCTTTTTAATCTGACCATTTTGTTGCAGTGAGACAAATGTCAACCTATTAATCTCCAAAATGGATACATGCTGAGCCAGATCCACTCGTTTTATTTGGACTGTGACATGAAGGCTGGAACCACGTGTTGCTTTTTAATTTTTTTTTTAGTTTTAGAATGAAGATTTTGTTCTATATTTTTTATATATTCTAATCTTTAAATAAAACTTTGATACAAGTCTATGTGTGGGATTTTTTTTTCCAGTTTTTCCCTTCTCCATGATTGTAGCACCTTTTGATGGCTCCTACCTGTTGGACTATTGATAAAAATAGGAATATAATCAGAGGTAAACGGTGTATGTAAAGCCTTCACTCTCTCAGACCAAGGAAAGTTTTGTTAAAGGGATGAAATCAGTCACGTGACAGAAAATGCTTTTATGTGAATCTAAAATTACTAAAGAAGCTATGGTACTGATTTAGACATGAATAACAATTTAATTCTGAAAAGTGTTTTTCAACTCCAAAAAAAACAAAACAAAAAAACATCATGATACTCTTAAAATAGACTACATTGTCAATAATCCAGATTTATATTTGTCAAACATGATATTAATTATTTTCTGGACCAGTCATTTTCTTTTATAGTGGTTTAATATCTCTGAGCAGAGCAAGATATGATGAAGAAAAGCAAGTTGAAAAAAATGACCATAGTCAATTTGGCTGTCCACACAGTGTATTCTCAATTTTAAATTTTCTGTACATATTTTTACAATAAAAAATTAAGTGTCCATTTAAAAATAAATAATAATAAAATGCCCTGGACCACAAAACCAGTTTTCAGTTGCTTATGTTTATTTGTGGCAATAGCCAAAAATACATTGTATGAGTCAAAATTATAGATTTTTTCCCATTCTATCGAAAATCATTTGGATGTTATATGTAAAGATTCATTCATTGATTTTTTTTTTTGAGCTTAGTCCCTTTATTAATCTGGGGTTGCCACAGCAGAGTGGAATATTTTTTTACGCAGCAGATGCCCTATCAGCTGCAACCCATCTCTGGGAAACATCCATACACACCCATTCACAAACATACACTATGGACAACTTAGCTTACCCAATTCACCTATACTGCATGTCTTTGGACTTGTGGAGAAAACCGGAAACCCACGCAAGCATGGGGAGAATATGCAAACTCCATACAGAAATGACAACTGACCCAGCCTAGGCTCGATCCAGCGACCTTGCTGTGAGGCGATTGTGCTACCCACTGCACCACCGATTCGCCCCAAAGTCAGAATGGCATCCGCTGGGTAAAAACATATGCTGGATAAATTGGCGGTTCATTCTGCTGTGGTGACATCAGTTTAAAAAAAGAGACTAAACTGACAAGAAAATGAATGAATGAATATATAACTTTAACCACTAGATGGCTGCAGAGCTTCAGCTATTTGACTAATTAATGTCTTTTCACAAGTTTCTCTTTTTTTATTTAAATGCTTAGAAATACACTTGCTCAATGCAGGAAGACATTAAGGCCGACTCACAACGTGGCATTTTTATTAATCCTGAATGATTGTAGCATGTCAGACTGCACAAGCCATGATACACTATAAGACACAGGTGTCAAACTCAGTTTCTGGAGGGTTTCGCTTTAACCCTAATTAAACATAGGCTACCTGATCAAATTAATTGTCCTTTAGGTTTGTTTGAAACCTACAGGTAAGTCTATAGGAGCAGGGTTGAAAATAAGCTGAAATAAACTGCAGGGATGCGCCCTCCAGAGTTTGACACCCCTGCTATAAGATCTCAACTGTCATATTGGGTTCGTTTGAGATGGTCCTCACCTTGCCTGCAATGTAAATTAGATAGGTACCGGCAGTAAGAGGAGGGCAAATGTCAGCAAATGACAGAGATGGCATTTGTGTTTTTTTTTTTTTTTATCGCAAACAACTGACCACAAAATATTAGCTTATAGTAATTTATAGTAAATATTATATTGTTTTTGAACATATTTTTTAAGTATTATGTTATATTTTTCTACTTGTTATACAATAGCATCTACAAAATTTAAATACTCGTTATAGTATGGTTCAATAGGCCCTATAATATTGCCATAAATTTCATATATATATATATATATATATATATATATATATATATATATATATATATATATATATATATATTAGGGATGTGCGGAGCAGCCGGTATTTGTATCTGTATTTGTTGAGGGGGGAAAAGTATTTGTATTTGTATTCGAGTAAAATTCAAAATGGCGCAAAAATATATATTTTTTCTATGACACTTCTAATTTAAGTTATAGTGAAAGTATTGTTTAATTATACCCATTATATAAATTATAGACATGCAATATTGGTTGTTGTTTTTGAACATGTGACAAGAAATGTCATTGAAAAGAAAATAACATAGAAGCCATTTTCTCATCCATGGTTAAATCAACAACTAATAAAATACCATTGTGAATATTATGAACCCCACCACCACCGGTCTTGTTGAAGGACACTGAATAGACAGAATAAAAACAAATAATACTTCAAAAAACTGTTCTTCTTCTGAAAGAACTTCTTTCCAATGCACAGAATTCCAAACACTAAAATTAGCTAAATAAACCCTGCCTAAATAAAACCCTGCCTGGGAGATCAGGCAGAACAAAAGTATTCTATATAATACTAAAAGATACAGCCCTGCTATTGTCATCTGCCTGCCACAAAACAGACACAAAGTTGTTGTTGTTTTTTTTATGTTTTAAACTGACTTGCTGGGGCAGAATGTGGCTGTGTTGATGGTTTGGTGCTTGTGGAGGATTTAGCAGAACATAGCTGTGCTGATTGAGGGGATTGATGCTTGTGGGGGGTTCACAGACAGTATCAGGAGAGGATGCTTTTAGTGCATGTGATAATACATTACATAGAAGGTTGCGCGGTGGCACAGTGAGTAGCACTGTCGCCTCACAGCAAGAATGTTGTTGGTTCGAGCCCCGACTGGGTTCTCCCCATGTTGGTGTGGGTTTCCTCCGGGTGCTCCGGTTTCCCCCACAGTCCAAACACATGCAATACAGGTGAATTGGGTAAGCTAAATTGTCCCTATTGTATGTGTGTGAAAGAGAGTGTATGGATGTTTCCCAGTGCTGGGTAGCAGCTGGAAGGGCAGCCACTGCGTAAAACATATGCTGGATAAATTGGTGGTTCATTCCACTGTGGCAACCCCAGATTGATAAAGGGATTTAGCCGAAAAGAAATGAATGAATGATTATGGATAGAAGATGTTGACAGATGTTTAATATCTCTGCCTCTGCTGATTTCACATTTGTAAACATTATACAGTATCAGTTTGTTTTATCTGCAGCACCACTGACTGTAAAATTCTTCCACAAAGAACATAAAGTTTTTTTTTTTGTTTTTTTTTTTGACTGGTGGAGGACCAAGAAATGGCTCAGCAGCAGTCTCACTCTTTTTCACTCTTTTTCTGGGTGCCCAAATGTATTTGAGGAGTTTTAAGTTAATAAAAGTGACGGGAAGCTATGCTAAGGTTAACTAGCCTATAGCATATATCTTGCTGTCTGCAAAAGACAGTAATGTAGACGTACCATATAACTCCCATAAGTGCATACTATTCGACACAACTGCACAAGCATCGTTTTAACCTTCATAAACGAACGTTAACGTTACTCTGTCAACAGTCTATTGTCTAGATTACCACGCTAACAGAGCTAACGTTGCGTAAACAGAGAGCACCCGATTGCTTTTTAATCTTTCAGTATGTCAACTCAGAGTTCAAGTTTAAACTCCTGGTTGGTTTCAGTAAACTCCTTACTGAAACAGGCCCCTAGTCAGCTCTTGAAGTTGGAGGATAAATTTTGTTTGAAAAATCATTATGCAAATGAAGTCTCCATATTTTTTTAAGCAGTGTTATGTGTGTGTGGTCTTCCCTTTTATGTATTCCTTACCCCTAGATGGGGTGTAACAGTAGTAGTGTATGAGTGTGTGTAACTGTGAGAGTGTATAAGTGTTTCCCAGTACTGGGTTATGGCTAAAAAGGCATCAGCTGTGTGAAACATATGCTGGAATAGTTGGCGACCCCTGGTAAATAAAGGACTAAGTCTTAAATTAAATTAACTAAATTAGGGAAAGAATAGTATTCAACCAAAAGTGCAATTTAAAGACAAGTTTGGTTTGTTGCTTTATCCTTCTTCTCCACTGCTTTAAGATCATTGGGTTGAGGTTGATATTTTTCCTCAAGCATTGGCAGTTTGGTTCTAATCTGCCGTCCAGTCATTAAATGTGCAGGGCTAAGTCCAGTTGCAACGACCGGAGTCGCACGGTAACACATTAATGCCAGGTGAGGATCAGGTTGGCAGAGAATCCGTTTTGCAGTTTGAACTGCTCTCTCTGCAGCCCCATTGGCTTGGGGAAAATGAGGACTTAAAGTTGTATGATGGAAATCATAATCTGTACAAAACTGTCTAAATTCAGCTGAGGCAAACTGTGGGCCATTGTCAGATACAAGCTCTCTGGGAATACCCCATCTCACAAACATGCACTTCAGTCTGCTGATAACATTGAAGCTGGATGGTGTTTGCAGGTGAGCTATTTCAATGTCACGTGAGTGGTAGTCTACAACTACTAAGTAAGTTTTCCCATTTAACCTGCATAACTCTGCAGCAATCTTACACCAGGGACTAGTAGGCAGGGGTGTAGTGATCAGGGGTTCTTTTATTTGTGTGGGTTTATGAGCCCTACAAAATGTGCACCCTAAAACAATCCTGTTGATGTCATTGCCAAGTCCTGGCCAACAAACTGACATCTTTGCCCTCTGACGACACTTTGCGAGCCCTTGATGTCCTTCATTAATTAGGCTTAACACTTCCTCCCTCATCGACACAGGAATGACTATTCTGTCCTCATACAAGACTAACCCATTGGCAAAAGACAATGAAGCCCTGGCTGTATGATAATGACTCAAGGGGAAGGGTATGTGCTTCAGCCAACCCATGATGAGAAAACCTATCACTGCCTGGAGATCTGCATCTAACTCTGTAGCCTTCCTAATGGAATCGAGCTTGGATTGTGACACCTCTTTAGATGCAACAACCGCTTTAACATATGCCTTCACCTTATCTTCCATCTCTGAGTGGAAGTGTTCACTCAAAGGTTTCCGAGCAAGCGTGTCCGCCACCACCAAACATTTACCTGGAAAATGGACTGCCTTTGCATTGAAGTGCATTAGTCGCATTAGCAAACACTGACATCTTAACAGAGCATGATCAATATCATACAAATTGATTAGTGGAACTAGCGGTTTATGATCTGTC